ATTCTTCTTCGAAGTCTTCGACTTGGAACTCCGCTGTACAGCGGCCTTGTCCTTCTTCGATCGACGGTCGCCTTCTCGACCCGTGGGGAGCGGCTCTTGCACGGCGACCTGTTCAAGGTCCTTGAGACTATGAGCGGTGTGGTCGAACCGGTCGTCGATACTGCTTCTAAATTTACCTAAGGACTCCAAAGCTTGATTCGCGTCGCGCCTTGCGTCCTTGACCGAAATTTTTAACGAAGCTAGGACCTCCGGCTCCTGACCGTCGGTCGCCTCACCTCGCTCCTTCTCGATGAGATCCACTCGAGCCGATAGCTCTCCTAAAACGGCGTGGAACTCGGAGGCTTGCAACTCCAGTTGCTTCCGGACGAGGGCTAATTCAGCCTCGAGATTTTTCGTCATCTCTTGGCGAATTTCCTCGCCCATCTTCTCGAACCTGTAGGATAGATTATCCTTGTCGGCGTCAATCCCCGTCGGGGATTCTTGACCTTCGGGATCCGTGGCCGTATTGGCCTGGCTTCGGGTGCGAGGAACTCGCGGGATCCTCGACGCCCTTGCCGATCCGACTCTGCTCGCCCCGGGACCGACGTCCCCGGGTGCGCTGGTCGACATGGTTCGTTTCAAAAAAAAAGAATCTAACTTAACACAAAGAAAAAAATAGAAAACGCTACAGCACCTGAATAAACTTACGTCGCAGAGAAAACTCCTGTAGTTCGTTTCAGAGTACGCAGTTTCTAGGTCGGGTCTCCTGTACGCAATTCTAGGCCGGGAGACAACTTTTGTAGTGCAATGCGCCTGTTAGGCAGAGACCAAGGTTCGACGGTCCAACACAAACAACAGCAACAAAAACAACAACTGCCAACGGCACAGCGCTACGGAGTGTTCGAAGCTCCCTGTCCTCTTTAAGCGGGTTTGCGGCCCGCAGTAGCTCGGATCCCTGATAGGGAGGGGGCAAAGAGAAGGGCCCAGCCCGGGATCGGTAAATGGTGGTAGAGACTTGTAAAGGCAACTGCTCGACGAGTTGGGAGGGGTGTTTAGGTAAACCTGGTCCGATGGGTCGTAAATCCAATGCTCGAAGAGCGCCTTGTACACCTTATACCCTTGATAAGGTCTTCGACGGGGACGTCGCAACGTAGCCCGTCGGGAAAGAAGAAAACGTAGCAGCGCTACACCGTCGTACTGCCCGATGGCAAAGTACCAACAACGGATCGGTCGCAACCAGATTCCGATGGAACCAACACTGAGAAAAGCACCACTGGTGCACCAACACAGAAGCCCGATGGCAAATGACGTCACGTTACGGATCGCAATCCTACAAGGTGGGACCAACTCAAGATTAAGGGTAATTAGGATAGGGAAATAAAAGGAAAAGGAATGGGACCCCCGAGCGCAAAGGACAAAAGTAATCTGTAGTTAAAGGGAATGTCTTGTTAAAGACGGACTTCAACCAAGGCGATATCAGACTATGGCAACTCGGGTTGGATTAGGAAATAAAGGAAAAAGGAATGGGATCCCCGAGCGCTGAAGGATGCCGTAGGCTTAGGTAAAAGGGAGCGTCTTGGTAGAGACGGACTTCGACCAAGGCGACATTCAACTCCGGCAACTCGGGTTACCTTTACTGACTTGGTCGTCAGAGGGCTAAGGTATATATCGCCCCGTCGGAGCCACTACAGTAGCTCTCGGCGCTAGATCCTAGATCTAATCTAATGTTAAATAACTAATATGCAACTAATTAAAATTAATGATTAAAATAATAAAGTGAAATGATTTCCACTTTTGCTTGTCATACCCCATCGTTTTCGTTTCTTTTCACCCCCCTTCTCAGGTGCGTATTGCACTACACCCCATGCAAATAGCCAAATCAAGTACATGAAGAAAGCCCATGCAAGGCCATGTACATGGCCAATGCAAGCCTATGCAGATGGCCAACGCAAACCCGTGCAAAAATCCCTTCCAAGCCCATGCACATTCCCAATGCGATCCCAAGCAAAATACCATGCAAGCCCATACAGGTGTCCAATGCAAGCCCATGGAAAATCCCATGCAAGCCCATGCAGATTCCTAATGCAATCCCATGCACATGGCCAATGCAAGCCCATGAAGGCCCATGCAAATTACCAATGCAAGCCCATGAACCAGGCCATGCACGTCCACGCAATCATGGCGCATTTCTCCGCATAGGAAACACTTAGGAAATTCTGCTCGTGCAAGTATGGGCAAATCGCCATGCATGCATTGGTTTAGCATGGGCTTCGCATGGGAAAGTTCAGACTATCAGAAAACAGACGTACCTTGAAGATAACGCGACCTTCAGTCGGTACTGCTTGCGCGTGCTTACTTCGAATGATCGCGTTATCGCTTTGTTTCCCTGCTTTAGGTACTGACAACTCGCGCCACGCGAAGGCGGATAACGATTGCTAATCTACCCTTACGGGTGAGGTTTAATCGTTCGAGTAATCAGGCACTGTAAGCTTTTCTCGACCGGCTTCCATTCAGAGTCATTAGGTATAAAGTGTAATCTTGTTTCTTCAACACTATTCACAGTGTTGAGGACAGAGTGTCTACTGTACAATGGTGTAATGTGAGATGGTCTAACAGCATGTTGTCTCATTTAAACGGCTATGGCTCCTGAGCCAATTTTCTCATCGCACAATCAAGTTTCTAACTGAGAAATACAGGTTGGGACGTTTCGGAAAGTGCAAAAAGAAGGATGCGAGACCTCTGTCGTCCCCTTTTGGATAATCTCGACGCTCTGACTTGTATGGAGGCCGGTAGTGCAGAAACGTTGAAGCTAGAGCTCCTTCCTTCCATGACAAGCAACAATACTAAACTCACGAGGTACTTCTATAGATAACTACAGCCGCGAAAGGAGGCAAAGGAAGGAAACGAGGGCATGCGTTAATAGAAGAAGAGCGTCAGGGCCCACAGAGTGACAGCATTGGAGAGCTTTGTTGCAATTGCAAGCACATTAAGTTGTGCGGCAGAATGATTCCAAAACTGTATAGTTGTGACAAATCCTGATCCCGACATCGTAGGCGAGTGGGTAGAAGGACAAGTGGTTGCAGTTGATAGGGTCCTACTCTACAAACACGGTGGGGGAGCACAAATGCCCGGAGACTGCTTGTCTCCTAAATGGAAGTCTTTGTTGGTCTGTCAGGTTACTACCTTCCTTTTTTCCCTCTCCTAACCTAGGGTCAACTATCAACTATATATAGAGTCTCTGGACTCTCTCCCTCCGCGCTCAGGTCAGCCTGCGGGCATCGTGCTTCTACCGTCAAGCACGGTTATGCTCACTTCGAGCTTTTAGCATTTAATTACCCTTCCTGGTAATAAATATAGAACTGCGCTTGTATTCCTCCTGAATGCAAGCGCCTTCTCCAATACACATTATCAATCATCGATCCATACATGCATTCCTTCCGAATGCAAGTACCCCGATGAGTACAGTCAGATTCTAGTGCAACTTACACGTCTGATCACGAGCTGTTCTTTACTGTGTGCGTCTCACGCCTCTTGACATCCCGTGGCTGTAATGAATATGTACAGCTCGAAAGGTGTTCATTCACAATAGTACGGTATGCTTCACCGAACCAAAAAAAATCAGGCTTCCGCTTTGTTTGTATTCCCCTCCACCAGTCAAGCTTTCGGCAATCACCTTAGCAAGCATTGCAGATTGTTGTTCTTTACCAGGCTTGAAAACTACGGAATCATGCCACGGCCACTTGTCTCATGCTGTGCAGAGTTGTCTCGGAGCGGTTCCTATAATTAAACATTGGCATTAACAAGACAATACTGGAGCACGTACGGTAGAGACAGCAAATTCGTTTCCATGTGTCGCTATCTCCACATTGCATTGAAACTGTTTCTGTGAAAGTGGGGCTGCAGTCCGCAACCCAATCTTTACGTCAGCACGTCACCCCCAATCTCTGTCCCGCAAGCGCGGTATCTTCATTGGCGCGCGTGAGCATGCGTAATGGATTGTCTGGGTGTACGGACGCGCGCGCGGTAGGCAAGGAAAAGGGCACGACCTCAGAAAGTTGCTGAGATCGATTCCCCCAAGCTGGAGCTCAGCTCAGGATTTTATGTTCAACTCGGGCCCCGACCGGACCCTGACTTGGACCGAACCCTAGCCCTATGTTGGCGGGCCGGTCGTGGGTTGCTCTCCTCGCTAGCGCTAGGTAGACAAACTGATTGCAGGGTAACCCTTACTAATTTTTCCAAGAACTCGGGTGTCGCAACAATCCGGGGCAGCTATGACGGCACGGCCGGCTTTGCACAAGTCTGCCACAGCCCGGCTGCGAGCCATATCATTCTGGTAAGAAGACTGTGATGCCAAGAGCCGATGACCCCCTACTCCCGAGAGTGGGGGCCGGCGGTGACTTTATTTTAGTGCGTGGACAGTGTGCCTTATTGGCCTTATTAGTTTGTTTTATTGCTGTGCTCTGTCCTAAGTTTCTCTGGATGGAACCACAAAGACCGTCCGATGCACCCCTCGTCGTCATTCGACTGACCCCACGCGCAGCGAGAGGTGCAGAGGCAGGGCGAGCTACACTGCTGCCCTGGCGCTTGCCATGAAGCGCATGTCTACGATCGGGTGAAGACCTGATGGTTTAGGGAGAAAGTTGCTCCTTATACGGCGCCTCTCACCTGCGTAGCCCGGTCTCTTGTTTGAGAAATGGCTTGCATGGGACGGCACGGGTGCGGTTAGGCTGTGGGGTGGAAAGTCGGTGTGCGGGAATGAGGAATTATTGGCTCTGCGCCCAGCCATTTCTCCCAAAGGGCTGTCGTTGTGGTTGGCATGTGTGCAAACTGCCTCACTCTCGTTTTAGATCCCGTGTTATCAGGATAGCCTTCAAGGAGAATGAATATCTGAAGGGGTCAAGGGGTTGCGCACAACCGAAATCATCGTCCGAGATCGCTCGCTGCTACGAGCGATAACAATGGTCGTATTACTATTTACTTTACTTTTCCGTGGGATTTCTCTGCACCTCATGTGATATCACATGACTCAAATCCTAACAGATCGCCTCCTCACTTCTCTGTGCCGTACCTTCGCAAGTCCTCTAGCCTCCAACCTCGCATCAACAGCTCGGCAAATACCATCAAAGATCTCTGACGACGAGTTTCCTTTATCATCACATTGCCCCAACTGTTGTCGGCATCACCTCCGGTGTTGGCGCCGGGGGTGTTGGCGCCGGGCTCCTTCTCACTCGGCGGCCGCACTTCCAGCCCGGTCGGATGGCCGAGTTGCGAATTTTAGATATCCTGCAGCGGCGAGGGATACATCCCGGCATGCGCATGCACTCCCGCCGCGCGTTACCGCGCGCCCCCATCCCGAGTCGGCATGTGTTGGAGCACCTCACCTTCCTACCCATTCGCACAGTACTATCAACCTTGTCGGGGCTGTTGATCGTCGCGGCATGGGCCACGACAAGAAGCACCAGAAGGACAATGAAGATGAGCTTGGACATTGCGGTTTTGATGGCAAGAAAGAAGATGGGAAGAAGCGATACGGGCGTGGCTAGAAGAGGGAGGGGGGCTGTGCGGAAGGAGCATTTAAGTAACCATTTTTTCACTCGAGAGCGTTCTAGAGAATGTGGTTACTTTTCTTGCCCTAGACTCGCACAGCAAAAGTAGTGCGTAGACGGACCTCCGAATGGCAGGAATTATCCAGGTACTTGAAACATTGTCGCTGTATGCAGGCGAGAATACTGTACAGAGAAGCACCTGTGTCAAGTGTCGAGTGGTGCAACTACTTAGACGCGGTCAGTTGCCCAGAAAACTCGGCGGCGACAGCTTCCTGGTCGCAAGTGCCCTGACCGAGCATGGAGTCTGCCCACGGCAAGATTATGCGTCTGCTCTCGCGAAATTTCCTTCACTAGCTTCAACCGGTGTTACGGATGTTCGGCTAACAGGTGTTCTGTGCCATTTTGCGAACATGGCGTAAGCCACTGTGTGCGCTGCTGTAAACATCACGGATACGAGAGCTCGCACAATCAGTTCTGCTGTTACGTATAATTGCAGGGAGATGAAGTAGCTTCAGGGACTTCGAAGGATTCACGGGTCATTTCGGGCATTGCAATATGCCCGTAAGGGTAGTAGAAACATTTATAGCTGTGGAATAAAAACGGAGCTTGGAAGATGTTTCTGCTTGTAGCGCGAGTGGAAAATTCTCGTCCAAGGACGCTTGTGGTGCTTATGAAAAATATGAGGATTGCACGTCATCAATCTTCACATTTAAGAAATTCCCCCATACCGCAATCTACAAATCTGTTTATTTAGTGGTGAAGATATCGCTCAAGTGGTTGCGGGAGCCATTCCCGATGAGGATCAGATGGCATTCACGTGAGATTCAACTGTGACATGATAGCATGATGTTTGCCCGAATGGTTATTTGCCCTGGACATTATCCATATGAAAGCAGAACATTTGTGGAGATACAGCTCTCCTGTGAATAGTGTGCTGCCCATACAATTTCGAGACCTCTAAATGGAGAAACACACTTCAATTCCTTACACGTTATATAGTCAATGTCATTGCTCTCTTCCATCCGGAATTCATTTTACTTTACCCTTGCAGAATGAGGCTCTGCTTACCTTTTCCTATTTCTTGTTTTGTGGAACAGGGCTCTTCGTTTCCCTTTTAAAGACAAGACGATGAACCTTTCGATCGTAACTGTGAATGAAATAAATGCAGTGCTGTATGGCTTTTTAGTTTTGTTCTCTTTCTTTTTCGTATACTGTACTCACTGTCCGAATATTTGTGGAGGAGAAATAACAATGATCTAGCTAGAGGCTGGTTCATTTTCCAACTTCTTTATTTAGGCAGTTTTAATGAAAAGCAAAACAAATAACAATTCTCCGTGTTCCAAGAAGGTTGAAATGGGCATGTTCCCCCCCGCCCCCGCCCCCCCTCCCACGGTTGATGTGGATGAGACTCTTAATCAGAACAAGCAGCTTCCCAAATTGGAACTGGAAGTGTACTTCAGAGACATTCAAGTCTGGAAGCTGATCGCTTCCGTTATAAATCCGTGTAGAAATTGTTACGAGCTTCATATCTTGAACAAAGTTTGGAGTACAGAGACGGCACTTGCTCCAAGGCAGGTACGTGTACTTGATTTCCTAGCAGGTCCAAGCCAAGCCAGAGCGATTTACGTGGTTCCTTTGTTCAGCGCCGAATGCATCTTCTTTTGCTTTTTAACCTTTAAATATCTTCATGCCCTGCTTCGCAATGTGGGTTACTTTCACATGGCGTACAGTACACTCCCAAACAAAGGCGAGAAAGATATTCAGGTTGCTCCATGATACCATTTGACAACAATTGAAACATCTTTAATTTTGTCTGTGACAGACGTAGATTTCTTCAATTGAACTGTACCGTAGTCTGCTTTACAATACAAGGACAGCTTACATTGGTTTCTATCTTGGGGAATGTAAATGGTTTTCTGCAATCGAGTGCTTTCTATTGATGCAACAGAAGATTGTGGACTTGCATTTGTCTTACGCACAGGAATCAAAAATTGAAGATGAGGAGGCCGCAGTATACATTTCTGACCTCCAAAAAAGTGACAAACGACCGACTTTCAATCAAGGCGAGAGATTTAACAGTTATCGTTGCCCGCAGGTTTTTGATATTATTGAAGGCTGGAGAAGGAAAATTATAAGAACGAGGAAAGAAGAGGCATAGTTAAAATTTTTCGCATTATACCGTACAGAGTGCGAAAGGCAAAGCAATTATTGGTGAAGGAAAACAATTTACTCGTCTCCATTATTGGAGAAACGCATGCAACAGCAACCGCTGCACGGCTTAATGCGTATAAGTGGAGGGAGTAAGGTTGATATGCGCCAATGCAGGCCACGTACAGTCGTGGTCGTATTGCGTTGCCAACTGATGCTGTAAATGATTTTCTGTGCACTTATCTTCCTTTCGCGAGCTGGGGTGACAGTTGGATGGACGCCTATAGTTGGCTCCGTATTTCCGTGTGGCTGACGGTGAGGGTTGGCGTGTACAATAAATTATGTGCTGTCTGCATAAAGCTGGCCAGCCAAATGAATTATTAGCACACTAGCTGAACGCGCAACCAGGAATGCGCTGCTGTCCAAAACGACTGTAAACCGTGTCACACAGTGTCATCCGTAGTGATGATCATGTTGAGCTGCAAACAAAGCACATAGACTTGCGTGCACTGCCGTGCGAACTGTGCGGTGCTAACTATAAGCTTTCAAGAGCTTGTCCGACCTTGCCCTTACTCTGCGAGATGCTCTACGTTACAGTGTAGTACAGTACATGCAAATGGGGAGATGTTTGAACAAGAGTGGGAATTCAAAAGATGCTGGGGTTTAATTGGGAAGACACGCCCAGATCGGGGTGGATGGAGCAGTAATACAGTGCTCCATGGTTTGGTTTGTGGCACACGGCGATGTTCGCGTGTGCCGAAAATGAAAATAGAAACGTGGACGACAGCGACGTAGAGAGCAATGACGGAATGCATGAGAAACGAATTGCAATGGGAGGCGTCTGTCAAACGTAGAACCGAAGAGCAGTACCCTTGGGTACAGTATCAGGACCACGAAGAGAGGTTTGGTACAATACATGACAGTAACAGTGATGGCCATGGGTGGGTGTCTTCTATGTGTGACCAAACGTGGCAGGCAGTGTGAACTGTGGTGTTTGTTGTAAGTTGACATGTCAACTTTACTGTACTGCACCCGCACGGACAATTATCAGGGCCTGCAAGAGCGCATAAAGAAAGAAAGGAGTGGGAATGGGGTTGTCACGCAAGACATGTAGGGGTTGTCGCCAAACCTGTTAATGTCACCGCTGTCACGGCGCGTATGTCCCCGTCAGCCGGTAGACAAGCACATGTGAAGCAGAAACCCCCTCATCGCATATTTTTTCTGTATGACGAGGGTAAGTCGGAGACCTACCGCTGCGGTGTGTAAAGATGCACACCACGGTATACCCTGGGGTGCGGCGGAGTGTGTAGCGATGTCTGCTGCTGCGGATACGCGGCGCAGTGCGGGCCAAAGTGTAGGTTTTACATCCACGGGCTTCGGCACGAGGACAGCACCGACAGACAGCACCTGCGCTGTGAGGACAGCAGCGGGGCAGACAGTTGAGGAGTGCTGTCTGGCAACGCCGCTCACGTCATGGAGTGCGCGCTTACCGTCGCCCGTCCATCGCCTCTGACCGGACCCTGCACGCACCAATCATCGCTCAACTTTTGTTGCACGGCGCCTTCTTTAGTGGTTCGGAAATTGTTATGATAGATTGGAAAGTATGACTTACTTTTTTGGGAAACTTGCGGTTGTTGAAAGCGGCTCTAGATGATGGCTCACTCGGGGTTGAAGGTGGCGGCGCCTGTGTTTAGCAGGTGGTTGTGCCACCCCCTTCGTGCAGGTGACGTCACCTGTCAACAGTTGACGCCGGTGTCTGACTTTGACTTTGTGACGCATCAAAATTTCCTCAGAATACACTTTCCATCCCTCCGCTTTTAGCCGCGCCCGATTGCGCCCGTGGTACTACAACCCCGCTTCAGGCTTGCCTTCGCACTGCTACGCTCGTCAGTGCTACGCTCGTCAGTGCTCCGAGCCTCACACCGAGTCGCCAGTGACGACCCACGTTCTCCTCACCGAGCCGACTGATGTCAGTCAACACACGCGCCCTATCGTTCTCTCTCGTCAATCACTCCCTCCCTCGTCTCCCTCGTTCTGAGCTCTTCGCCGAACACAGACACGCCCCCGAAACCGCCCTTGTGCACTTCTCGTCACGAAAACCAGCATCCCGCCCGAGCCCAGCCCTTCGTCTGTATCGCCGATCCACCTACGTATCACCCCGCGTGCTTCACTCAACAGCGTGCCGCCCCACTCCTGGCACCCTTGCAATGCCGCCCTTGCAATGCCGCCCACCTGTTTCTTCGTGCCACGACACCTCCGTCAACCCCCCATCTACGATTGCAGTTCTCGCCCTCGCATAACACATCCGCACCCAGGTTTTGCACGATGCCGCACTACCTCGGCGGAGAAATCAAGTTTCTCGTCCTCGAATTCTTGTGCTCCACGTTAACAGAACCCCAATTTGGCATCTCCTTGTTTTCACCTCCGTAGATTGATTCCCGCTGCGATCTTCCCAGCGCACCCGCAATCATTCACACCGAACCGTGCAGGGTTACAGCTTAACGGCCTCACCTGCTTCTTACGTGCTGCGCAGATGCCCACCTTCCGTCACCGGCGACGTCATCTGACGCCCCAGCATACCAGAGGTTGACACCCATCTGATTTCCCTGCTCCTCCTTGACATGTCATGTCCTGTCGTGGCGCAGCCCCCAGCTGCTCTTCTTGGGTTGCTCATCAGTATATAAACATCCGCGACATCCACCCTGGACTACCCTTTCCCTGTAACCCACTTCTCATCTCACTCGCAACCACCTCAACTTGCATCACACCAGCCTCAAAAAATGACTTGCTCGCTGTTTCTTTTCGCTCTGCTCGCCCTCATCGTTCTTGCCTCTGCCGTCCCGGACTGACATCAACACCGTCGAGCGCATGGGGCGCTGCCCAAACAGGTGCCGTCTCGGCCCCGGTGCCCGCTTCAACGCCCGCCGCGAGTGTATAGTGATTCCAGGATGCCGACCCCGTCGCTGCCGCAGGCGCAGCATGACTGGCATGCGCAGGATGAAGAAGGGATGGTCATGCTCCCGCAGGCGCAGGCTGGTCGTCATTCCCACTACGCCGGAGCCTTCCATGGAGCCGATGGGGGAGACTACAGAATAGGAACTATGAGGTATTAGGGACTGAAATGCTCTGGTAGAGTAATCTACGACCGTAGGTGCTGTTGTTCGGAGCGAAAGTGATCTCTGATAGTTGCATTATTTGGAAGTCCATGGCAGTAAATCTTTTGTAATTGGAACCTATTGTTCGCAGCACAACGAAGTCCCTTCAAGATTATTATACATACATAGTTTGCGCCGGCGTTGTCCGGCAAAATCGAATGTCCGTTTTTCGAATGTCCGTTTTGCAATAGGTCCAAAAGATCTTTAATAGATCGTCTTCTGCTGGGCCGTGGCAAGATTTCTCCATGAACATTTCGAAATGCAACCCCTGTCGGAATTGTGTTTGTTAGTTACGAGACAACTTAATTCTCCAGCCCGATCGTACAACTAAAGATGGTTTTATATTACTGTGGCTCGAGTTTTGTGGAAGAGAGATGCAACCGACGAGAAAGAGTCGAAGGAATATGAAGAGGGATATCTGGATCTTTACGTCCAACAGCCTCAAGCAGATCCCCTTGGTCCGAGGAGCAGCCTATGGATAATTGTGCCAACGTTTCGAGCGTACAGCAGGGACGGGGGCTTCCTCATTGCAACAGATGCGCAATATCCATTAAGGATAGCAGATGTGAAAAGTGACGGAATACGGAAAGATTTTCATAGAATGAGCGGTTTCCTTGTAAGAATGGAGTGCGCGCCTAGCGGGTAACACCGTGGAGAAAAATGAAAGGATAAGTTACAGTCACTATGCACATGCGTTTTACGATAAGAGGAAAGATTTGGGGCGCGCAAGGCTAAGATGACTTGCGATTGAACCTTGAATTGAGACATTCGCAGGCTTTTCCAACGCTTGGGACGTGCATTAACGTAGAGAAGCACCAGCAAAGACCTCTTCATGCGAATAGAAAGGAGAGCATTTGTTGTGATGGAAGACTGGAACATTAAATGAGTGAAGTGAGATACATGAAAGGGGCGGGCATGCGCTACAAGACCGTTCCTCTGCGCGGAAATATGCGCTCACGCCTGCGTCGAATTCGCATGCAGTCTCGAAAAATTTAAAAGGTTCTACAAAAAAACATAAAGTATTGACTTGGTTGATGCCACCCTTACTTAATGTGCGATGTTGGCGGCGAAAAAAAGGGGGGGAGGAAGGCCGCGCGCGTACGGGAGCGAGATGTACGGAAAGGGAAAAGCAGAAAAGAGAAAAGTTTATTGCAAGGGGGGGTCGGTCGGGGTGTTGTTGTGTTCTGCCCCCATTGCGGTGTGTCGCGGCGCGCCCCTTTCTCTTATAGCGGGGCCGCCATCATCTTCTACTCCACAGGACCGCTGCTCTTCAACGGGAGATTGTCCACGTGTACACCTGGCGTACACGTAGACCAGTAAAATCACCTTTTTGAAGGCTTTGGTCCTGGGACCACTCCTGGGTACTGTACCCTGTACAGTACCCCAAATCTCCCCCACACGACCCCCTCCCTAGCCCCACACCCTGGCAGGGGCAACATATATACTGACCGATGGCCGGTCCTTTGCCCCTGGTGCTCCGCTTGAGTCAGGAAACCTGGGCTCGACCTTGACGATCCAATTGACACAATTTAGTGTCACCATCGACACCAATCCCCCAATCGCTCCACGTTGCCACGTGTGTACCTGCATCCTCACTGTAAGTACTTTTCTCTAACCTTAATCCATTGTTCACACAACTTGGGTGCACATACTAACTGCATTTTTTCATCACCACGGTGTGAAGTTGGTTCACAGCGTGACACAGATTCTGGCGCTTGCTTGCCATAGGACCTTGACTTGATTGCTTGTGCGGCGGTGCCTAGGTGGGGTTCTTGTCCCCAGGTCTGTCCCCTGCAAACTGTCTCATTTGGCATGGAAACATGAATCAAACTGTACGTCACTCTGCATTCACCCATTCCGGCTGCCGTGTCGTCCTCTACATCAATTGCAGCGTTTCCAGCGTTGTTCCAGACGAAAGAAACATCACAGGTACCTTCTACGCAGGCTTCTCCAAGGGATTGTTCTCGGCCTCCGACGGGATGCTGCCGTTCGCCTTTTCACGGGAGATGAAACGAGTCTTCTTGAGCATGCTGACCCCGGTTTGCAACGCCCAGATCGCGTACGCCGCCACAGGTATCTTCTTCGTCGCATGCAGTGGGTTTTCATTCGAGCTGTTCTTTCTAATTTCTAAATGGATAAAAGGGGCCCATACATCTTACGTAGCCTTAACCAATAATGCAATTAACTATTTTGCTACAATGTGTCTTCACTCCATGGCGTCCTGCTCACTTTTCCTTGCACGATAGGGTACGAGTCGACGAGCATGGATAGGTTTCCTCGACATTCAGCCATGACGCGACTCTAACACGTAGCGAGGGTGGCGTCTTTCTACGATTCTGCATGGCCCGTAGAACTTTGATACGAATTCAGGCCATTCGTGCCACCGAATGAAGTTCCACGGGCGACAAGAACTTTGTCTCCCACTTCGAAGAAGTGAGACGACGACGCTAGGAGCCTCTTTTCCACAGAGGCCCCTGAGCGAACCGCTCGTGGGACTGATCCAGTCAGAAGCTCCAAATGACGATGATGGTCTAAGGAAGGAACAACTAGGCTTGCACCTGTCTCTGTACTGGAATCCATCCGAGGTGGGACCCCATACATTAATTCGAAGGGCGACACACCGTTCTTCATGGCACGTCGGCGATATTCATACAGGACCTCGGTGAGTGCTTTGTCCCACTCCATACCAGGTCCAAGAACTGTCTTATGGACGGCGGCCTTCAAAGTTCCAACCATTCTCTCTGCTCTACCGTTAGAAACGGGACCGTAGGCGAGGACGGTGCGCCAAGTGATACCGTGTCCAGCCATGAAGCTAGAAACGGCCGAGGCTGTGAAGCAGGTAGCATTGTCAGAGACAATGGTTCTCGGAGGGCCGAATGAGTACATGATTTCTCTCTTGACGAAGTCGAGAACCACTTGAGCAGTACTATCAGCAGTGGATAGAGCAACTGGCCATCCTGTGAGGTGTTCGACCGCAACCAACACGAAGCGATTTCCAGACGAAGTGACAGGGAAGGGTCCAGCAAAGTCAATAGAGAAAACATCAAACAAGCTTGTGATGGGAAGGCGCAAAGTTGTCTTATACCTGGGAATCGGACGTGCCTTCTGACACCCGTCACAACTCTTCACGTAGTCTCCCACGTCCATACCAACGGTCGGCCACCAGTACCTTTCCGTGACAAATTGACGAGTGGTCTTCAAGTCCCAATGACCAATGTCGTCATTGAAACCCTTCAGTATCTTTTCGCGATCGGAAATTGGGGCAACAACACGAAGGCCACGAATGGTGCGGCGGAGCAACTTCGACTCCCAGACAAGAAAGTGCTTCGCATTATTCTTCATGCGAGACTTCCTGTAATCATCCAACCCAACCGGTATTTCGCCTTGCAGATAGGACATGATATCTTGGCAAGACTCTTCTAGATCTTCTGGAGAGTAGATCGGGGTCGTGATAGCGAGGGCAAGGTCTCCCTCTTCCTGGCAAGTTGGGTTGTCGCCGTTCTTGGGCTGAATGCGAGAAAGGTAGTCAACTGCACTATTTGCGGATCCACGACGATATTCCACGGTGAAGTCGTACTCGGCTAAGAAGTCTAGCCAACGAGCCAAACGACCGTGGATGTCTTTCTTGCGAAAGGCGTAACTAAGAGCCTGGTGATCAGTAATCAACTTGAAAGGTGTAGACGAAAGCACGTAAACACGAAATTTCTTCAAAGCAAAGATGACCGCAAGCGCCTCACGCTCACAAGCGGAGTACTTGCGCTCAGATGTATTCATAGTACGGCTTGCGTACTGGATGGGGTGTATTTTCCCATCTTCCTTCTTTTGAGCCAACACAGCCCCGACGGTGACCGATGACGCATCCGTCTCAACGACGAAGGGCTTCTCGAAGTCTGGGTAAGCCAAGACTGGCGGAGAAGTTAACTTTATGCGTAGTTCATCAAAGGCTTCTTGCATTTCTCCGGTCCATTTCAATCTGCCGTTTCCGGATGTAGCCGCATGGAGTACCGCAGCAATGTCCGCAAACTTGCAGATGAAACGACGGTAGTAGCTTGCTAACCCAAGAAAGCTCCTAAGTTCAGTCGCAGTGGTCGGGATCGGTGCATTCAGAATCACTTCGACCTTGCTCGGGTCAACGGCAATCCCGCATTTGTCGACGACATGACCGAGCAACTTGATCTTCGCCTGGGCGAAGCTACACTTTGTCGGCTTAAGCTTAAGACCAGCCTCGTCAAGCACATCAAATACATGCTGCAGGTGGCGAAGATGTTCTTCTATAGTCTTAGAGAACACCACAACGTCATCGAGGTACACACGCA